TTGTCATCTACACAATAGTAAACTCGCCTAGATTGTTTACAATCCTGTAACATGCGATTTTATTGGTTTCTAATGATGCTTTCTTGCCAAAATCTGCTACAAGATTCATGATTGGTCAAATTTGAGCACGTGACCTAAGGCAGCCAATCCAATTACAGCAATGGTACCGTCCTCGTGTGGGATGAATTTCAGATTTTGTTAAATCGTGTTATTCTGAACGTTGTAAGCAGGAAATCGCGATCTATATTAAAAATATGAAACTTCATGGATGTTTATGCGAGGTTACAAGCAGTGACAAAGATTTTTCATGCATATATTTTGGCATTAAATATTATTTGTCATTTGGCTCACATTACACGCAATCACACGAAAAGATGAAAATAATAACTTAGATGTAAGTTTGAAAACTTTTAGATATATTTTTGTTGATTTTATTTATTACTTTGTATAACATATTTAAAGATTTGATCGACACGTTTTTATATTGCGCTTTGACTTGTTCTATGTGCAGCCATTGTCAAAGTGTGTGTCCGAGAATTTTATTTTTAAAAGCATTGCGGGGAAATAGATCTAGTGAATAATCTTTTAATCTATAGATAAACAAGGGTCATCAGAAGATGACAAATCCCCCGGCCCCAACAAGTTCGAAAGAGCAAATCACCTAAAGTCCAATTTGATGAGAGAATTTCTAATCTATCTGTCCATACAGAAGAGTAGTTTTTGAGCCATAAAGACAATACTATGGAATTGGGATTCAGAACTTTGTATTTCTATGTCAGTCAAAATCAAACTTGTTGCCATGGAAACAGATACATATAAATCCTAAAAATTCCTAAATCACAAAAGGCACCAGTTGATAACCTGGTCTTTGTGTGTGCACAGTTTCAAGAAAGACTACCTATTAGTTTTAGATATATGGTCCAGACAAACACACCACTATGAACAGAGTCAAAGTCAAACTTGTTGCCATGGAAACAGGAATTAATATTTTTTGTTAAAATTCATAAATAGCAAAAGGCACCACTTCAGCCTTTGGTTAATACATGTACCGAGTTTGGATGAAAATTCTCTCACAGTTTTCAAGTTGTGCTACAGAAACGACACCTACCCCCACCCTTTTGAGACTGAGTCCAAATTGTTTCAAGAGAAATCAAGAATTAAAAACAAAATTTTTTTAAATTACAAAATAGCCAAAAGAATTACACTTCAGCATGTGACTGATACATCTTTCAAGTTTCGATCAAATATACTGAATGGTTTTCGAATTCTTACCCGGAAATGAACCCCATCTACAAAAATGGAGTCTGTCCAACTTCTTTCCATAAATATTTACAAAATAAAAATTAAAAAAAGCTCAAAATATCAAAAGGCACCACTTCAGTGTGTGACTGATAGATTTGCCAAGTTTCGATCAAATACACTGAATGGTTTTCGAGTTCTGACCCGCAAAAGGAAATGATCACGGACAGATGGGCGGATGGACGGATGGTCAGACATACTGGTTGATCGCTGTATCCCCCCGCATTATATGCCGGGGGGATAAAAATAATAAATTGAAATAAAATACGTATTTCAGACATTGTAAAACACGACAGATGCAATAAATGAATGATATGACAGGTAGATTCATCAAGTTAAATACTTTTTTGACGTGACTACCGTTTGGCCAGTCCACGCAAAGAAGCGATTAGCAAAGTGAAACTGCTCAACTGGTCTTAATATGAGTGACTGTCATTCCTCTGGTCCAGTCATGTTACTTTATATTTTCAGACCTCTCAACAGGTCCACATCAATATAGACTCTCCATATACTCTGTTAAAGAGCATTAATTTCATATTATAGGACCAGTCCTAGCTATTAGAGCTAATTTCTGAATTTGGTTAATTTCAATTTTTGAGAATGATCAAAAGAGATGCGCCTTTTCTTCTAAAAGATAAGTCAACTGAAATTGTTTTGTGGATAACTTTTTCATTAACACAAGTTAGAACTCTCAAATGATGTATCCATAAAGTTGACGAAAAGCTCACTTGATATTAAAGGAAGAGAATCACACAAACAGTTATACTTAGCATTCAAAACACTGTCCATACATTCAACAGGAAATAAACCAAACAAATTTAACAATAATCAGTCTTTCTGAGATATCCATATGCCAGATTCAGTAAAGCATATTCCCACCATTGGTGGACATCATGACATGTGGATATTGAATCTGACCTCCCTATGCCCTCCTGACCATCAGGTGTATTTTCGAGCAGACATTCATGTTTCATTACTTGAAAGACATTACATAGGTTGATGAATACATAATCAATAATAATAGTTGTTGCACAAGTTGTCACAGACACAATACATATATGGTGTACCAGGGTATGAAACTCCCAAAAATTTCAGCCAGACCACAGGACCGGCTAGCTGAAATACTTGCCAGCCCTGACCAAAGCCTGCCTGCCCACTATAATTATATGTTTCTCAGGATAATTTAATTAAAACTTTAAATCGAATCCATTGAACATGAAGTAATGCAAGAAAAGAAATAGCAAACACTTTTTAGGTCTGGTGAGCAAAGTGAATATACACTACCTCATTTTCAGTTACAGATATATCTGTCGAGCCATCAGAAAGAATGGTGCAAAAATGAGCTTCCATAATTTTCTTCTCAATTTTCTGTCTCTCAACTTCTGCAATGGCCACCAAAAATTCTTTACATGAGTTATCATTCAGGTAAGTATTGCCGAGATCAACACCATTCTGTTTAGACACAAGACAAAGTTCTCTAAAATCAGATATTGGTCTGGACATTTTCGCTAAATAATGTGCAATCCTGAACAGCTTTGTCAATCTGTCAAACACTGCAGCATTTAACTTTTGTTTTGTTTTTTCTGCAATGCTCACTTCTGCAGAATGAGAGTCTTGATGTTGCACAGCATGGCGATGTCCTTCTGACTTGTTATGGGTAGTTAATGCATCATGCCTCAATTTACTACAACCAGTAACAAACGGCCCCTGAATATTTTCTAAACTTGTCACTAACCACTTTCCTAGCGAGTGGACCATACACAGAACGGCAAGTACCACAGTACACTAGCTCACGATTATCGTCTGTCACCAACCATGGGTGGATACAGCTTTTTTGAAAAGGGGGGGGTTGCACAATTAAGATCTATTTATTGTCTTTCGTTGTAATTTATACAGAAATAAAGATTTTTTTTTGCACCCCCGCACCCCCCCTGTATCCGCCCATGCCAACAATGAAAATTCAGTTTTCCAAGAAGGAACGATCGTTCTTTTTCGCTTCGTGCTATCATAGATCTTGTCTCTTTCAGCCTGTGACTTTGCATTTTTCTTGTCATCACTGACTTCAGGTAAACCAAGAAACTTTAAAAGACTCATGCTGTCGAGCAACGTGGGTAATGGGCGCCGCCATTTGCAATATCACTAGCAACAGAAACAGGGTGGCTGATTGGTCGTCGTGTCGGGGATTATCCAATCAAATAGCTTGTCTCAAAATATGAAAACTGATTGCTTGTAGCATAAGCGCATCGCTAAATTTTAGGTTGTCTAAAAGCTAACGGGGTTTCTTTTTGGTTACATTTTATCATTCATCTTTACATGTGAATTAATGCTTATCATCGGGAAATATTTAGAATATTTTCACATATGAAATATAACCCGACCGTCGGGCAGGGGGATTTGAAAATCTGGCAGCCCGAGCTGAAATCAACCTGTCTCGGACGGTCGGGCAGGCAGGTATTTCGAACACTGTGGTGTACTGATCAAAAGATCATCTGAACTACTTAGTAGCACAACAATCTCACACTCTTCACTTTCTCTCTCCAACTTATCCAAAAGTACCCAGCCATACTCCATTAGCAACATCTCCAACTGCTTCCGGGGAGGTTAAGAATTTTAACAAGGGCTGGGACGAGTTCAAATTTACTACACGGGTATCCTCCACCCTATTACCCGACCCTACCCGGGCACTCGTTGATGACAGTTAGAGATAGGTACAAACTGTCTGATTTGGAAAAGTTTGACCGTAGCCCTGGGAAAATGTATTTAGATACAGTCAAGTCTCGTTAATCCGACATTGTTGGTTGCACATGATTGTGTCGGATTAACGAGTATGTCGGATTAACAAAATTAAGTGATTTGTGATCGAAAATCGGACGTCTTCACGATAGATAATAACCGTGTGTACCTTGCAATAAAATCATTAAAAACGAAATATTAATATTGTTATGTTGTTTATTCATTCATTCCTTAATTTATAATTAATGACTATGCAAAAATAATAATAATTTTCCCATTTATACATAACAATAGAGACATTACTCACTGAATTTATCACATGATCAACGACACACGTTTCCTCGTGTAAATGCAAGTGCTACTGTCTTAACAACTTGTTTCATCTACTTTAAATAGTCTGTCAGTGCGTGTCAAAACACGGGGTTGTGTACTCGCGGTCGGATGACCACGGAGTACGCTGATCACTGTGTCGGATTAACGAGACTGATTAATGAGTGATTTCGGCAATTCGTTGCAAATTAGGTGTGTCGGAGTCGGAGTGCGAGAATGTCGGATTAATGGGACTAAATAGCACTGAATCAATCGGTTCCCATCATTTGTGTCGGATAAAGCTGAGTGTCGGATTAACGAGTGTCGGATTAACGAGACTTGACTGTACATGTGTAAAACGATCTGGTTATGCATACACTGAAGTTTACTGCATGGAGTTTATCATTATTCGAACATATGATAGTCAGAAGGAATGGGTGCATTGTCAGAAAGCAATGGGAACATTAGTGACTTGTAGTGTAACCATAGAGTTTTAGATAATTTTTGTCATTAAACAATATATCACGTGACTAACCACGGGTCCAGGTAGTCCTACTCAGGACCCACCCAACCCGAGTACCCGAATTACCCGTCCCAGCCCTAATTTTAACACATATTAAATTGGGCTTTGGGGCTGCTCCTATTCCAATTATACATACCTAAACAATACACAGCTCGGTGGACTGGAGCTTGAGGCAAATGGTAAACCTTAAATCCACTGCATTGTCTTGCTTCTACACTGATGGTATATGCGCATGCATCAGATGTAGACTGGACACACATCGTCAAGTTACTGTTGGTTTGTTCTGTAAGGTGAACATGAAGTGTAGTCATAACACATGTTGAAATAGGATACAAACAACCTCTGTAAATATACTCTGCAAATTTAAAATTATACACAAATGAGGTTTTCGATGTATAAATTATATAACATAAAAATAATCAACAGATGGTAATCGATTATTCAAAATTGACCCAGGTTTAATATGGCACACATGAAACAGTAGATTTTCAAGGTGAAGGTCATCTGTTCTCAAAATGTTGTATGGCCAAAACTGACTGGCATCGCGTCCCATGGACTCAGTCAGATCCTGAATTGTGGTCTGGGGAGTGTTTGCCAACTCTACCTGCAGTGCTTGTGCCAACTGTCGGATGTTCTGTGGTTGATGCTGATGTGCTCACAATCATTGATCCAGTGCATCCCATAAAAGTTTGATTGGGTTTAAACATGGAGACCAGGAGGGCCATAGCAGGACCTGAATGTTGTTATTCCAGAATAAGGCTGTTGTCAGGCTTGCCATGTGAGGTCGGGCATTGTCTTGTTAGAAAATCACGTTCGTCTGTTGCCTAATGGGAAGGACATGTGGCCGAAGAATCTCATCTGTGTAACATAATGTCAATAAATTCCCCAGAACTTGCACCAAGTCTGTCCTACCAGTGTAGGAGATGGCTGCTCACATCATTACACTACCACCACCAAATCTGTCCAATTCCTAACATTCCCTGAGACGCCTGAAAACATAACGTCTACCATCCGCACGGTGAAGCATAAAATGTGACTCGTCGCCAAATCAAACTTATCTCCATTGCAGTTATGGCCATACACTGTGACCTTGACACCATTGATGCAGCCAACTATTGTAGGTCCATCAAAATGACACCTCAAACTGGTCGTGTAGCATGAATACCTTCAGTGTGCTAATGGTTCCTCACTGTCTGGGCTGATATCCTACGTCATGCTTGTATTACCGTCGTAGAGGTGTCCGTGGTGGTTCTTTCATGTAAGTGAGTTAGCCATATGAATCTATCCTATGCTCTAATAGTGATAAGTGGTCAATCAGATCTTGGAAGGTCAGGTGTTGTACCGTCTGTCTCAAAATGTTCCAGAGTCTTGTAATGGTGCTTGTCGCTACGTGGATAAACATGGCTACAGCAGAAGATGATTCTCCTGTTTGCAGTCAGCTGATGGTGTTGCATTGGGCTTCCATCAGCAGTGACATGTTTTAACTGTTCACTTGCTGTAAGACTGTAATGGCATGCAAATGAAAACCCAACAGTTTTATAGCCCAAAGTAAGCGCATGTCATGTTGGTGTCTAACGGCGCCAGGCTCTCACGGGGTTGTGTTCATGCGATTTTTCTATCATTTCACAAAATTTCCCCATTACCTCATTTTTTCCACATAAATCAATCCCAGGCAATGTAGAAATGACCAATTCATTTTGTATGGATGTCTGCAACACTCTTTCAGATATTTACGATTTTACTACTTTTGCATTTCATTTTTTGCAGAGTATATGTTCAATCCAGGATGATAATTATTATTTGGACCTAAACAGTGAGTGAGTGAGTGAGTGAGTTGGCTTTAACGCCGCTTTTAACAGTATTACAGTCATATCGCGGCGTGTCAGCTTAATGTGGGAGGAAAGCCCGAAGTGATGCAGGTTTTAGACGTTTACCACTTCGGTGAAACCCACAAGCACGGGTATGGTTCTGATAAACCTAGACACATAATTGGGGCGAACCGGGATTCAAACCCACAATCATAGGTTTTTGGCGTGCCCAAGGGACGCAACTCTGCACAGCGAATCGTGGACCTACACAGAACTCAAATTTGAAGCTGCATTTGTATATCATGGTGGCCTGCAACAGAGCAATGTCAGTGACAGACAACGATCCACACAATATAGGTCACTGACCACAAGATCCCCATTTTTTGTCATGAGTTCCAGTAACCAGGATCCTCTGGGGAATCAGAAACTAATGGATGTCAAGCACACTATTACATAAGATCTCAGAAGTTGGAATTTTTTCTGAAAATTGTGTATTCATATACCATGTATACTTATCCGATCTCATACTTTGCCTTTGTTCTTTCTTCTTCGATCAAAGTTTCCAGGTTCTAAAAAACAATTCACCCGAACACATCCTAGCATCACCAAGGTTACCGTCCAACAAATGGGCCATGTACATGATCCTGTGCACAGATACGTCAAAGGTACGCGGCCAGAGTAGAGTAGATCCCTTGAGCTTTCACGTAGAGAGAAGATGATGAAGATAGTCAGTGATCTATTGTGGTGAAGCAGAAGCGGGAGTGCGAGACAATAATTCTCAAAGGCCATCCATTTGTGGTCATAAAGGTGTTTGGTAGAAAAGCTATGAGCGTCCGAAATTGTCTTTCCTTCACTACCCTTACTGATAAGGGATGAAACACACAATAGCATTTACCAAACAGGCACAACCAAAATCAGAACCCGGTGATTGGTGGCCTTTTCCAGGAGATCTTTCCCAGGAGATAGCCAGGGCATCGTGATCACAAGCCAGAGGGTTCGAGAAGTACCGGGATAGCTGAGTGTTGAATCTGGTGGCAAACGGATCAACATCTAGAAGCGTGTTTTCTTGGCTGATCTACCTGAAGATCGATGGATGAAGAAAACATTCTGTGGGGGTCCAACGCCCTGCAATCTGAAGATCATGAAAGTGCGCTAACCAACACATGGCTGATGCATCAACAAAGAGATGCAGGGTCAGAAAGAACAGCATCAAAGAGAATCTGATGCAGATATTCAACTCTATGACCAGCTACTGAAGGTTTGGATGCAAGTGGAGTTGGAGGGTGTTCGACAATCCTCACTTTGGATGAAGGGCGCACGGAAGCACTGAATCGTCCGAAGGTGAAGTTGACCGCATAACGTTAGGACTTGCGCTGACGTCAAAAGGCCAAGGATCCGTTGCCATTGTGGAAACAGAAGAGGATATGTGAGTGCTGGCGGTACCATAATTTGAATCTTCAGCCAACAACCCTGAGGGATAAACATGTTGCTCCTGACGAGTGTCAAACAGGTCGCCAATGAACTGGAGTCGTTAGGTGGGTGCCATTTTGGACTTGCCGATGGTGACAAGCCAGCTGAGGTAGCTAAGAATAGCTCAGCTGAATACAGTCTGTATGAACACAATTCCACGAAGATGAAGAGGTTTTGTGATGGATCTGGTGAGGCAGGTAAATGCCACGGGACTGAAGAAATTCCAAATGGGAGTACCTTCCATTGGTAGGTGCAGCCTTGGAAAACGAACCGGTGCTCCCAAGGCATAGGAATGTTCAGGTAAATAGAAACGCGTCATATAAATCTGGGCTGACCAGGAAATCGATTGTACCAACAAGTGTTGGAAGGAGTGTGATTAAAGTCATACAGAAATGAGACAGGTCTTCCAGGTAGAGTGAATTGAATTTTTACATATTGAATATGAGCCGAAGCTTTAGACTGTTCTCCTTTGGTATGAGGAAAACAGACGAGTAAAACCCAGATCGAGACATTCTATGGCATTTTTTATGAGCAACGCACCTATTGTCTCATTGGGTCGACAAGGATAGGCCAGTTTCTGGTGAACAACCCCAGTCTTCCTCCAACTGGAGCATCTGCGATGGGGATGGCTGGGGGCGGAAGTTCCCAGTCCACACGTAGTAGAGGGAAGAAAACTTAGTAGAGCACTTGGGAGCAGTAAAGGAGACCCTGTGTTACCAAAGAGGAATCCAACCACAATGACCGTGGTGCCTCCACCCCAACCATGAAAGGAGCTAAGGAGATCACAGGGGTACTGTTGATCCTTCTGGACCGTCCTCAAGCTGTCGTCTTTAAAGGCGAATGAGATCAACTTCTCCAATATGCAATCAGCTAAAAAAGTGGAGCAGACCAGGGAAGCAGATATAATTGAGCCTTGAACTGATAATCCCAAGAGCTTTGCTTAAGTAACCATATGCAGCGGAGGGCGATGACCAAGCCAGCATGGTAGGAAAGCAGATCCAGGATGGTCGTAATCATCTGAATAAGTGAAACAGCCACCACGAACAAAGGCATCAGTATGCAACCTTTGATAAAGAAAGGAGGAGGTTAATGCTGGTGATCCTGCAAAGTAGGGAGGGGTTGAGTAGGAGGCGGCACCGATCTAACAGGAACTGAAGCAGACACAACAGGACGGGCGGGGGGGGGGGGGGGGAGACGACTTCAGAAGTGATGAGCGCGATAATACAGATTCTGAGTGAAAAGTGAGGACGATCCTCATGACAAGGTCGGGTGACAAGAGCATCACGAGCCACACAACGACCAAAACCATTAGGTACACGCCAAGCAGGTGGTAAGCAGGTGGGAACAGGTAGCCATGCCAGGAGGGATACGAGTCCACACGATAGGGAAAACCGTCCCATCCACAAATTGACCCTGCAGAAGAACCAAAACTCGTGTAGTCCAATTCACTGTTATCTGGTTGTCAGTGCTCTTAGATATGCGAGCAAGAGTGAGCCCCATAGTAGGAAGAGTCTGTATAACTGTAAAAGACAGTCATCATCCAATTCTGAAAGACGATAGTGAGAATGAGAGCCACAGTGCCGAATCGTGTGAGCGATCCAGGCCTGCTGAATGTGAATAACGATCCTTGGAGTGGGTAAGCGCCGATCTTGGGATTGTGTCTTTGATTCTCAATAGCTATCCTTCAAGCGAGCCTCCATGGAGCAGTAAGCGAAGAAACAGTAGAGGATGTCAGCAAGGAAAGGGCATGAACATTCCAGGAGCTGGCGGATCAAGCTAAGGATCAGTCTAAGGATCGACTAAGATCGTAGACGTAGGGATGTCCAGGGGAGTGGTAAAAAGGACATCCCAAACATCTTATGGATCGGTGGATGATCTTTTGACAAGTGGTCAGGAGAACAGCAAGCGTCCTGTGGAGCAGCAAGAGAGGAAACAACTTAATACTGAGGGGATTCGAAAGAGAATGATGTGGTCGAGATAGAGATGTGATCAGGTTTTGTAAGGACGCTGTGCATGGGAGCATGTACCAGGGGTGGACGGTAACCCCAGTGATACTGGGATGTGTTCGAATGAACTGTTTTTTGGAAGCTGGAAACTTTGTTTCCACATAGGAATGAAGAATAAATAAATGAATAGCGTGAGAATGTGGTGTATACTCTATCAGTTGAATGAATTTAATGAACTGGAAAACTTTAAAAATGTATCACTTAAAAAATCATCTGTATTTTGTAGCCAACAGGCAATATATTGATCACTATTTAATATGCGTAGTCAATTGTTCAACTGTTAGTACCTTGTACATATATTGGGTACCATCCTCCACATTTGTAGAACCCAGGGGATTCTTCGACCAGAGTGTACCTCTTGTCCCCGTACCATCCTTCGGTCAACTCATTGTCGTCAATGCTGGATTCTCCATTACTCAGTGTGTAGTTAATGCCTCGACGATCAGAATCAGGAAAAGGGGTGTATGTCGTGCAAGGATCTGAACAAAAGCAAACACATTTCCATAATTATAGAAAATCTCTAACAAAAGCTGAGGTCATTGTACATTCTTGGTGTATCATAAGCATGTTTATGCATCACTATCAAATATTGATGATACCATGTCTTAGCGACATATCCTACCCCATCGGCACCTGTCAGAAACACATGCAAGTGTAGTCAATTGTTAAACAACAAAATATATGGTACAAGTCATGTGATTAGTTACGCAATGTCCTATTTTATGAAAATGCTCACTTTCCAAGGATAACAAAATTATGATTCCCTTGGTTTTATTCAAATATGATTTATAAGACTGAAAGTTCAGCATGCAAATCTCATTCAATCAAACAATACACATATTGAATAATAATTTTAATGTACTGCTTAACTCATATCATGGTTAGTGACATATTACGGGGGTTGAAAAATACCACTGCCCGATGCCCGTGCCAAGTAAGGCCTAGATGTCGGACAAGTTTCTAGCATGCCCGTGGACAAGTTAAGCATACAAAATGAACTGGGTCAAGTTTCATGAGAATGTAATCATGTTACGATATTTCATTGGCTAATATCTTTCTAGTGTCACAGAATCTTAATTTGCACCAGTCAACCAATGGGATTAATACACTTTGATGTCAGGCAGGTCAACAACAATGAGAACCAGGCTTGTTGTATTGATAAATCATACTAACACTTCTATATATGGCACATGCTTCTTGGAAATTGAATGATGGACAGTTGACTACATTGATTGGAATTTGTAATGCGAGGTAGGTCTTGTGGCGACTTTAGCGGCTTTGCTTGGCCAAGCTTTGATGAAATATTTTATTTGAATGCATAAGTCGAGGCTCACAAGCTCGTGAAAACTTTGACACATGAGTCAAACTATGACAAATATGACTTTTAACAAGTCAAAGTATATCATTTATGATATATGTATCCATTCCCTGTCAACTAAAGTTCATTTTGAGGCATCGATAGCAATAATCAGACCATGGTTGCTGTGAATAATGGAGTAGTATAGACGATGGGGATACTGCCGCAACCCCACTGGAGCCAGATTTATATACCTATACTGCTACTACAGGGGGATTTTTTATGTCAAAATGATAATGCTATTCATAATTCAACGATCGTCATGAGATTAAACTATATAGTAATGAAAATATTCTCTATTATTTTTACTCATGCGCATACTATTGTTTTGAACAAAGTGATATTCAACATTTTTACTCAGTGCTTTGTTCATTTTACTGGGAGACCAGACTATATACGCTTTTTCGAAATTGGGAAGAAACAATTTATGTCCGTATTTGGTTGGTTTGACATAATTGATATAATATATACCCTGTGGTAATTCTCGCCATTTGATAATTTTTGTTGACATTATTATATACTTATGTAAGCATTCGTTTAAATGTGATCAAACAATCTATTTTTAATCTCCAACCAGTTCTTTGGTTTTGGCATGGAATAATTGATGCACTTGTTGTCTCCCCTGTTCTATGAACTTTTTTTCTCGTCTTCGCTAATACCACTGGTCTTCCGATAATTGGATCGAATCTCCTGCTTCATTATGATGTATTTGGTGAGCTCTGACAACACTAAACGAAACTCCTCCTCGGATATCTTACAATCAGCCAGTGCTGTTGAAATATGATCCTCAATGCTGTTCAACTTTGCTTCGGCGAGTATCCGAATATTATCATGTTTTAATGATTTCTTTTGCAACTTACGAGAAATAAATCTTATCGCTATACCCGCCAGTCCTGAGACACTGGCCTCCACTTCCATACCAAGTACGATAGGCGCGGTGACTATAGTTGATAATAAACCAACACCGGCTACGCCGAGTCCCATGCCAGCTGTTACAAATGCAGTGTCAACTCCACTGAGAGCATTCACGGCTCTGCAATACTTTTTATACAATCCAAGTCTCAACTCCCTCTCCTTCTCTATTCAATGTTTTATGTCTGTTATTTGATGTAATCAAAATCCATCAACAGTATCCATCTTTTCAGATACTTCATTGAGCACCAGACATAAACCAATAGTGTATATTATTATATCATATTATTATATCATATAATAGTCTTTAATTGGTCTTGCTTCAATGTTTTGAGAGTATACATCAACCTTATTAAATGTATATTATACGGCATAAATATCTTAGTAAGCGAAATGCTGTCACTTTTATTAACTTGGACCCCCTCAAGGGTTGGAATGGGTGATACTCCCGCATAAATAATACTGCAATGTTGACACTCGTGTTTCTTAAGCCATTTAATTGATAGACCTGGTAATATCTCGAAGGCATCTTCCGGTGCATCTCCAAACAAGACTTCAATTATAATTGTAGAAAGATCAGGTATAGCATTCAAGTTATCTTTTATATCATTAAATTCAGGAAACCAAATTTAAGCTCACATTTTTTAATGCAGGACGACTCAATAACATATGACCTGGGTCATGTGGCAGGGGAGAGACTAACACACATTTTTGTTTTGAGGGGATATAAGCCCCGAGTACGATCCCACTATTTATTATCTTAGTTAATTGATTTGCCTTACCCATCATCACATATGGTGGGGCAATGACGATATTCAGTAGCCACTCGATTTTTGCTTTGACCATAGTCCATTTATTATCATCATTGCGAGTAAGACTGTATGAAGTGTTTTTATAGTGTCTACTTAAATCTCCTAGATTAGCTGTGAATGTAACTTCTTTCCGCTTGTATACATTATCTTTTAAGTGTAAAGCGTATAACTTGCCATCAGTATCAGTTTGGTTTACCAAATACTTCTGTGTCACCAAGATCAGAAAGCGCAATCTAAGGTTATGCGATCCTGGGCCTAATGAATCAACCATGATTTATAATATGGAGTGTTACACTCAAGTATCCTACATGTACAGGTTGGTGTTTTATATCTAATACAGAAATTTTGAGTCTGAAATAATACCCCGCTTTAACTTTTTATATTGTAATGATTCCGTTCTACCGCTATTGCATTTTTCATCTTTGACTGGAATAGCTCTCGGCAGAGTTGAACGACTTTCGAGTTGAATAATATCTGTTGTACTGATCTGATCAAGATGGATGCACAGCTCTTTATGGGGAACAATATCGGGTAATTTAACTCCATGCATTGTTTCGTCAGGTAATACTTTTCCTATTCTAAATCCATGTGTATCTGCTAAGTTCTTGAAAAGAATTACACCCTTTTCTCCAGCGCATAAAATCAGCATCCTATTCGACACATTTTGTGTGAGACTAGCTCTATTAGGCTTAAAATTTCATCGTTGAGTGAGCATACGCTGTAATACCCATCAGATATAGTGATGGGAATGATAGTACTGTCAAATTCACCAAGTAATATCATATTATTATTCCTCTCAGCACTGGTCCACAGCGGGTAATAGGTTACATTGCATCGAGCGACTTCAAGTTGACCAGCTGAGTTATCAATAGTATGAAGCAGTTAAATAAACTGGCCATTTGTTATTCCTGGAAGTGTAACATACATATAGAATACTAAACGAGCTCCCGTGTAATACCAATTTTATGAAACGAGTGAATAGTTCTGGTATCTGACGAGCGAAAGCGATTCAGATACCACAACTATTCACGAGTTTCATAAAATTGGTTTTACACGAGAGCGAGTTAAGTATTTTATTTATTACTTGTAATTTATAATGTTTTTAGAATTATACTGTTGAGTGTAAATAGGCTGACACCTACACGATCCAAGGCATAATCCAATTGAGTTTAACAGAATAATACTTCAAACACGTCAAAAGTTGAAACGTATGAATTTAATATCATGGTCCACCTTTAGAATTCAGGCGTTCGTCCTACAAAATGATCGTAGTGCTAAGGCTATCACAACTCACATAATTTAACTAAGACTAACGACTGTCGTTGCGCTAGAGTACGATCGCCTTGTGGAACGGGTCCTTGCACCTCATAGTTTACAATCACGTCACAATACCCGATGACGTAATTTGTTGAATTTTGTTGCAAGATCCGTCGGAGAAACAATGCCATGTGACGTCAGCCTAGCAACAAGGTTGCTGGGGTCATCGAGTGTGCATAAGCTCCTCCCAGTGATCTATCATCTCCACACACAATGTCGTTGAATACGCCAAGGGATGTTGAGAGCTTTCAATATTTGTTCGTGAAACTTGTTCCGAGAGTACATAAGCACGCGTTTTGGTATTACACAATGTGTAATAAAGCTGTATGTTTATTAAACGGGTGATCTCTTCACGGGCAAGTAATAAATATTAAATATACAATGATACTATATCATAACTTAAATATGAAATCAACTTACATTACAAATCAGTCGATTTTAGTAAGTGCCTCTGCTGCTAATGTTTTTGTTAAATTCCCTGAAATCTTTGAAAAATACGGGGTCATGGCAACTAGCGATAAAATGGTGCATGATCGGTTCCACAATCCAATGCAATTTTGGCAGAATCAGTTAAACTTTGCCATATGGTGTGCCACAACAGGATGTGGTGTACCTCTTTATGCCCCCGGATTTGAACTAAATAAGTCTGTTTTATCATGTCACATGTACTATCAGATTAGACGTATACTTAAACAAATTAGTGCCCCATTACCGCAGGATCGAGCATGGAATTCCTCAAATAATACATACAATAGGTTCGTGTATGAGCGTATTTGTCAGGAATTTGGTATTTCTATGAGTAAAGATTGGCATATTAAGGGAGTTAACCATGGTCTAGGTGTTCCGTACAGTGGACAAAAAACTGTTAAAGAAGAAAGTGATGATTTAGTTTAAAAAAACTCATCAACAATTCAATCCATTTAAGGTGTTACAGAAAAACAATCTTTTTGTAAGAATGCATAATCTTAATCATGGCTGGGAACTTTTGAGTAACGATTGGAGAGGAGATCTTATGAGTTTTAAGGGTCAGGTTAAGCTTATATTGTTACAAAATTGGTGCAACTAAACGATACCACAAATG